CTCACTCACTCACTCTCTCACTCACTCACTCACTCAATCACTCACTCTCTCACTCACTCACTCTCTCACTCACTCACTCACTCAATCACTCACTCTCTCACTCACTCACTCTCTCACTCACTCACTCACTCAATCACTCACTCTCTCACTCACTCACTCTCTCACTCACTCACTCACTCAATCACTCACTCTCTCACTCACTCACTCTCTCACTCACTCACTCACTCAATCACTCACTCTCTCACTCACTCACTCTCTCACTCACTCACTCACTCAATCACTCACTCTCTCACTCACTCACTCTCTCACTCACTCACTCACTCAATCACTCACTCTCTCACTCACTCACTCTCTCACTCACTCACTCACTCAATCACTCACTCTCTCACTCACTCACTCTCTCACTCACTCACTCACTCAATCACTCACTCTCTCACTCACTCACTCTCTCACTCACTCACTCACTCAATCACTCACTCTCTCACTCACTCACTCTCTCACTCACTCACTCTCTCACTCACTCACTCTCTCACTCACTCACTCTCTCACTCACTCACTCTCTCACTCACTCACTCTCTCACTCACTCACTCTCTCACTCACTCACTCTCTCACTCACTCACTCTCTCACTCACTCACTCTCTCACTCACTCACTCTCTCACTCACTCACTCTCTCACTCACTCACTCTCTCTCATTCATTGACTCTCTCGCGGTGGTGAGGCCTGTGTTCCAGGCCAGGTGCCAACAAGACAGATGAACGCCACTATCACGGCGCCGAGGGGCTGTACGGCGGGAATAAAGCCCTGGTTTACGGCACCTGCCCACGTCTGTGCTGTAACAGCCACCGTGGCCCATCTCCAGCCCTGCCCCTGCCTGTGGGGCCACAGACACAATCAGCCATCTTGCAGGTGCGGCCGGGGGCCGCAGGGAGGGGAAGAGTGAGGAGGGCCCCGCCTGCCTGCAGTCCCTGCTCTGGCCACACCCCCCTGGGGACACCGGCACCGCACCTCCTCCAGCCAGGATGGAGTTTGCCCCTGGAGCCAAGAAGGGGCGTGGCCACGTGGCTCTCCTGGCCCAGCAGCAGCTGCTGCTCTGGGGGAAGCAGAGGACCGACAGTCCCAGGTCCAGGGAAGAGCTGAGGGTTTGGGAGAGGACAGGACCTGCACAGCTTCCTTCCGGAGCGCCCTCACGACCCGGGCTGAGCACCAGGGTGCACTGACCCACTTCACAGTTGGAGAGACTGAGGTGCAGGGCGGTGAGGTCGCTAGTCCAGGCTCCCGTGGTGGCACAGGCGGGCTGGGAGCTGCCGGCCCTGACCACCTCCACGGAGCTCGCCCTGCGCAGGGAACTGCTGCTCGCGCATGTCAGCGCCCATGTCAGTGCGCGCCTGCCGAGGGCTCCGCTCCCAGAGAAACAGCAGGAGGAGGTGTGGTGCCCGGTGTCCCCAGGGGGGTGTGGCCAGAGCAGGGACTGCAGGCAGCTGGGGCCCTGCCCTCTCCTCCCCTCCCTGCTGCCCCCTGGCTGCACCTGCAAGATGGCTGATTGTGTCTGCTGCCCCCACGGCCAGGGCCAGGGGTCTCTGTTCACCGGAGTCCCCAGCATGGAGCCCCACCCCACGGAGGGGGAGCCAGTGGAGCCCCCGCAGACCTCAGCGAGCCTGGGGTGGGACTGGGTGAGGAACAGACTTCCCACCGGAATGGAGCGCCCGGCTTCCGGTTCCCTCCCTCAGCAGGA